GTTATTCTTTGCAAAAAATAGAACATGGCGATTAATGAGGTTGTTCATTCGTATGAACTTATTTTTCAAGCCTAAGTACAGTAAAGAGGAAGTATGATAAGGTTTTCAACGGCTGAGAGAAATTGAGAAAACTTAAGTGGGGCAATGAGGAAATGCTCTACAAACCCAAATGGTCCAGCCGAAGAGTAGGGGCACTAGCACTTGCTGAGAGTGTATATAATGGGACCAGACCGCCAAACTAACTTGGAAAGGCCTATTGCCATTCCCGACTACAGCAGGAGGTCCCGGTTAGACCCAGTTCCATGCTACTTTTTCTGGATCTCTGAGTTATTCACAGGGATGTAACTCGGATGTTTTCCTGTAAGGTTTCTTGTTTTAGAATCTCCCGATGTGAACCCTGTATATTTCACCAAATGTCACAAGAAAATGAAAATCATTATTTCATCATCGTTCATTTTTCTTTATTCTTTCTGATATTTGGCTAGTTCTCCATTATTTCTTCTCTTCTCCATGTTTTAAATAATGCAGCTTTCATAATAACATATGACATGCCTTGCGGACTTTCATGCTTAGATCCACAAACAGCGCTGTACAGATTTTCCGAAATAATAAGAATCAAGAGTGAAATGCAAGAACGGTAACTTTGAGGAAAATAAAAACAAAGAATGGAAGCAATTGAAAGGGAAATTTGGTACGCAAGTTGGATAAGGTCCTACTTACAACAAAAGAAGTGTGCTGTACTCACAGGAACATCCGGCGAGTTGTACCAACAAAAGAATTACCCAGCTTACAACAAGAAAGTCGCGCCCAAGAATCTCTCGCAACATAGGAACAACTGGTGATTGAGACGCATACTCTTCCATAATCACAGGAAAGCAAAAAGGACACAACTTGCTCTTATTGGAAGGGATCAACATACATCCGAAAAATATACTGCCAAGAGGAGCGAGAGTATCTGGGAGACATGAAGGAGATGTCACCGAAGCGCAGCCAAATAACAGATGCAATAAAAAGGTTACTATGTCTAGGCCTCCTGCGATGATGGCTTTTGTGCATTAGAATGACGAAGGCTTTCCTTCTGGAGCTACCCAAACAACTACAACCCTCGTAACCCTTTGACCGGTTAGCTTTTTGGTCACCCTCTTTTGGCACCGCGGATAAGTACCAGCGGAAAAGAAGAAGAGAAAGAAAAGAAAAGAAAAGACAAAGAAAAAAAAGAAAAAAAGAGAAAAAGAAAGAAGAAGAAGAAAAGGAAAAGACATATGATGGAAAGAGAAAAGAAAAAAATAAAAAAAGAAAAGAGAAAAAGAATATGGATATGATGAAAAGAAAAAAAAAAAGACAAAGAAATAAACAAACAAAAATAAAAACAACAACCCAAAACCTTCTTGAACTAACGTTTGACGTTGATTCTCCGAAAGGATACGTAGGCAGCCCTCGCTGAGGTTCAGTCCACATCAAAACCAATCCCATTTTCCCAAAAATTTGAAACTGGGGAGAGTATAATGGTCTCGGATGAATCGCTCCGAAATTGGTTCCAAGTTTATAGTTTCCGCCAAAATTCTTTTTACCACATACTAGCCCAAGTCCTTCCGATCAATTGACAAAGGCATGGAAGTGGCAAACGTCATTGTTGGAATTTGATACAATTCCAAATCGAGAGAAATAAAATGAGAGAGTCTTATCGGTGAAAACCTTCGGGCACCATAAGGCGATGGTGAGTAGAGAAACTGAAATGAGAGAGTCCGCTTAGTAAAAACTCCGCAAAGAGCACTATCGGGCGACGGTGAGAAGACAGAAATGAGAGAGGTCGATTGGCGAAAAACCCGGAAAGGGCGCTGTGGCCGGACAGAAAGAAGATATCTCATCACTAAAAGATGTCCTGACAAGGTTCCCGGGCTTTGAAATGCGGATCAATGGGTTCACGAGAAGCCAGGAAATTTGTGTGGCCGGCGTCAGTCCAAGAAGCTGTCATGTTCATTCGAAGCCAGCATGCGCCCCAGATAAGTCCTTCTTTTCCCCGAAAGGGACGCTTTCTCTTCAAACTCATATGCTTGCCTTTTTGCATACTTCTCTTTGAATCCCTTTCGGTCTAACAGATGAAACGAATTACTACAAAGAAGGTGGCAGGATTGGTTCCATCGGGCTCCGCCTGGCAAAAGCCGGAGAAAATGCCCAGCCTCAGCGAAGTGCGTCAGGCCGATCCCGACTGACCATAGTGGTTGATGCTTTCGAAGCAAAGACATTGGAAAAAGAAAAAAATCAAAGGCAAGGACAGAATAAAGGGAAAAGGCCAGAGCCCACACGGGCGAGTCATAATGAAACCCTGAGAGTTAAACCCGGTCGGTTCGAAAAAGAGATTCACCCTCAAGTGCCAACAAGCAGCAAACTTTCAAACGGAAATGGGGCCGGGATCAAGCAATTGGGATGATCAAGGCCACAACCAACCGCCGTTTCAAACTAACAAATTGTTTCTTTGTCGAAAACAGGTCTAATTCAAAGAACCGTGCAAGAAGCAGGGGCAATCCAAAAGGAAATGAAATGCGCAAGCATGAAACAGCTTTGCAGCAGGAAAATGACAAAAAGGAAGTTTCCCCCCAAATTCTTTCATGCGTTTTGCTAAATAAAAGGAAAACATATAAAGAGGAACAACAGAAAAAGAAAGAAGGAAAGAAGATAAAATGAAAAACCCAAAAGAAAAATAAATCATGGTAGCTATAGGATCCATTCCTTAAATCTCCCGGCCAAAAAACCGAGGAGCCTTTTTCTTTTCCAAATCCCGGCAAAAAACGAGGATCTCCCTGCCAAAAAACCGAGGAGCTTTTTTCTTCTTAAATTCCGGCCAAAATCGAGGTATCTCCGGCCAAAATCCGAGGAGCTTTTTTCTTTCCAAATCCCGGCCAAAAAATCGAGGATCTCCCGGCCAAAAAACTGAGGAGCTTTTTATTTCCAAATCCCGGCCGAAAAACCGAGGATCTCCCTAGCATAACCCAAGGAGCTTTTTCTTTCCAAATCCCGGCCGAAAAACCGAGGACCTCCTTGGCATAACCCAAGGAGCTTTTTCTTTCCAAATCCGACAAAAAACGAGGATTCTCCTGGTATAACCAAGGAGCTTTTCTTTCCAAATCCCGGCCAAAAAACCAAGGATCTCCTTGGCATACCCAAGGAGCTTTTTCTTTCCAAATTCCCGGCCAAAACACCGAGGATCTCCCTAGCATAACCAAGGAGCTTTTTCTTTCCAAATTTCGGCCAAAACACCGAGGATCTCCCTGGCATAACCCAAGGAGCTTTTTCTTTCCAAATCCGGCCAAAAACCGAGGATCTCCCTGGCATACCCAAGGAGCTTTTCTTTCCAAATCCGGCCAAAAACCGAGGAATCTCCTGGCATAAACCCAAGGAGCTTTTTACTTCCAAATTCCCGGCAAACCCGAGGACCTTTTTCTTCTTCGTACCGGCATAACCCGAGACCCTTTTTCTTTTTCCGGGCATAACCCGGTCATTTTTCCAGCATAACCTGGATTCATTCACAAGATACACAATCCTAATTTGACTGCTTAGATATATGTCACAACTAACTACGAAATTTTCTAGTGAAACTGAACGACTGTGCAGAAAAATCTTGATATTTCGTTTTCGTTGTTTGTTTGTTTTGATATCTTAAGCAGGTTGACCTCAAAACATAGGGTGCGAGATGACCAATGGAATGAGTCTCAATCCAGAGTCAAAAAAAGAAGAAAAGAACAAAAAGAAGTGAACTCAAAAGTGAAGCAAGCAAGGGTGCAGATTGCTCAAAATCTGATTGAAGCCACAAGCTCCGCTGATCCTGTTTTGACCCAATACTGCATGAAGAAATAAACACCTACAACTTACGAGCATCAAGATTCAGATCGGAGTCCATAGCAAGAACTAGCTAAGACTCAAGATCAAGCTTCAAGAGGTTTATAGATAGGAATCTTGTAACTCGTAGTTGATAGGTTTAGCTAGTTTAGCTTTTTATTTTCCATTTTGTGTAATAAGGAGCTCAGCAAGCAGAAACAGCAGCAACAACAGTGAAATCACGGCTTCCTGGTAGTCCCAGCTACCAAAACCAGAACTACACTGACCTGATTCCTTTATAGCCAAGGATATGTAGGCAACCTCTGAAGCAAGGTTCGGTCAGACTCTTTAAAAATGCTTCTCATGGGTTTCAAATGGGCAAAATCCCTCATATTGCTCACTTTATCTTTGCCCGAAAATCTTCATGTTTCCTGAGCAAAGGAGGGGCAGCTGTAATAAGCACGTGATTTTTGCCCTATACGAAATACTCCTCAAAATCCCCGAGAAAATAGATTTTTCCTTAATTATTTGCCATTTTGGAATTTTATAGATTTTTATTAATTGTTTGCATTTTTCTTGCATTTTAAATCATGAAAATACCAAATATCACGTAGGGCGTTAGGCCTTATCTTTACATTTTAGGATTAATTAGATAATTACTTATTTTATAAAATTTAAAAATTAACAAAAATGCTTCATTTTTACACTTTTCCTTTTATTTGATTTTTTTCTTTTAATTTAGGATTAAGTAGCTTTTATAATTTTTATAATTAGTTAATTAGTTTAATTTCACATTTTAAATAATTTTAGGATTTTTCAATTTATGGATTTTTAATTAAAGGAAAAGAAAATTTAAAATAAAAGAAAAAATTGGAAAAGAAAGGTTTGTCTTGTAAGAATTGGCCAAATTAATGCTGAGCCAAAGCCTATACCTAAATCTGCCCAAACCCAATAACCACTCAAAGCACAATCTCCCTACCCAAATATCCATTATCCGTTGCCCTAATCTCTCAACATAAAAGGGGGAAGAGATCATATTTTGGAGGATCCAGACCCTTAGAGAATAGAGAAAAGCGGCGCCTGTTTGGAGCAGAGGGCTCCCTTCCCCTTCCTCCATTTTTCTCCACGAATTGCTGCGTTTTTTTCAGTCTTTTTTTTTCGCTGGATTTCGTTGATTTTGGGAATTTCGGGTTAAATTTTCGGTTCTTGCTGCTGCTTTATGTTGCTGGAGATTGCTGCTTCTACTGGCTAGTAGTCAGAAACTCTCTCCTTCAAATTTAGACCTGTATTTGGTCATTTGGTTGGATTTTTGCTGCAGATAGGTATGTAATTGTTACTTGGAGATTTTTCCTTTTGAATGTATAAATAATGAATGGATTGCCTATTATATCATGTCTGATTTCACATGTTCATTATTGCTTTATTACAGATTTCATCTTACATGTAAATGTTTGGTATGCCAGATTTAGCTTTTAATTGCTTGAATGGCAAAAAAAAAAAAAAAATGATTTGGTTATGTCTGATAACAAAAAAAAATTTCATTTTTTGGCCATATTCGATAATGAAGAGTAACTGTTTATGAATTTCTTATATGCTCCACTTAATTTTAGTCTCATAATCTTGGTTCCGTCTGTATGTTTTCGGGAGGTTATTCGGTTTTGGTGTGATCAATAATTCCTTGGGGATAATCTTTCTCGCTAGCTGGAGCACAAGCAGAGTCGATTCGGCGGTGTAATTTGCTCATTTGTTTGGAGTTTGAAATCTTCCTGTGGCAAACAGAGCATCTTTGTGGTTGCTAAACTTGTTAATTGGCGTGAAAGATCACACAATATCAAAGTGTTTTAAGTTAATTAGCTAGGTACAAGAGCCCTCCAATATGATAACGCTTTTCTGATTTTCCCAAAATATTTCCAAACCAATTTTCTCTTGTACCCAAGTGATCACGTTCACTCGAGTAGTGAAAAGCAAGTCCCGGATGAACATGGCGATGATATGGAATCTAAAAATGAAAAGTTTCTTGGTAACATTCAAGCTATTTGCTGAAACCACCTTTTCTGGTCATGCTATTCACGTCAGCATTAGATGAGTTCAAAGTATACAAACGATTTCAATTTCTCAAGTAGTTCAAAACATCCCTGTAGAAATCAGAATCGAGGTGTGCCATTAGTTGAATTTTCCATGGCTTTCGCAAACTTAAAAGTGCGTAGTTGCTTTAGGCGCGCTATTCTAAAAAAATTACCTTCCTAAACTCGGTGTGCATTTCATGTGACCCAACTCCAATTCTCAACACGTTAAATAAAATGTGTCGTGAATCGCGAGTGCATTTCATGTGACGTGTTCAAGGCGTGTTTTAAATAAGTTGAATGTTTCCTAAAAATAATTAAAAGCGGTTTAATAGTAAAATATACCATAGGCTAAAACATGTATTAAAATCAGATAATAGGCCAATATAATAGTTTAAGCGACCGTGCTAGACCACGGAATCCGGGGGTGCCTAACACCTTCCCTCGGGTTAACAGAATTCCTTATTCAGAATTTCTGGTTCGCAGACTTCAAATGAAAGTCGAATTTTCCTCGATTTGGGATTTAAAATAAACCGGTGACTTGGGACACCAGAAAACAAAATATTCCAAGTGGCGACTCTGATAAATAATAAAATCCCATTTTGAACAATGTCACTTATAATTGGAAAAACTCCCTTGTACCACCTTCTGGGGTGTGTAAAAAGGAGGTGTGACAACGTTCCGCAAAAGCCTATGTGATTTCAAGCCGAGTGAATTGCCACGAGTATCCAACTCCGAGTGGCCAAATCTAATCAAATCAATTACATATCGTATATATAGCTACAAGCAACTATTTAGCTTACTGAAATCAAAGAAAATAGAAAAAACCCCAAAAATACTCCCTGGCCACGTCTCGTAATCGGGTAAAAGACACAAATTATGAACATCCATTCACTCACGAGTTCACTCATACAAAAATCATCCAAAACCGCGCCTAATTCCCACTCAAACCTCAGATTTTCTATTGGGGAACTTTTTTCCCCATTTTCCAAACTTCCACCTCAAATTTTTAATTAGATAAAGAATACAACATAGATTATAGTTATATATCAAAATCGAGTTCGGATTAGTTACACAATAGCTCTCCTTCAAAATCCCTCGAAAAATCGCCTTCCACCGAGCTCAAATTAAATTTTGTGTTATGAAATTTCAAACCCTCAAAATCCCCTTTTTTGCCCTAGCGATTTCCGCTTCTACGCTCCAAGACCGCACTGCGGTCCTACAGCTATGAAAGAACCATCGCAGGTGCGAATCTAATTAACTCGGCTGGGCCACATTGCGGGCAAGGGTGCTAGTAATTTTTACGTGGCGATGGTTTGGCGCTTGGAAGAGACCACATCTTGGACAATGGATTAGAAGTAGACTTTGTGCTCCAAGGTCCAGTTTTTTACATAAAGAGAGTTCTCAAAGAAGGCCATGGGGTGGATACCGGCCAGTTTGTGGGGTGTGAACCAAGAGCTTGGTTTGTTTTTATGCCATCTTCAAGTCTCGATTACGAGATATTCTAACTTTGGAGGAAGGTGAGGTATAGTCTCTGAATTTGCCATCTCTTTGGGCTGCAAAAGAGTAAAAAAAAAAGAATATTAGAATGGGCGCAAAGGTCTAATGGATGAAATTGGCCTCTAATATACGATCCACCTTGAGAGTAATCTCTCCGATAGTCGGGCCACATTGAGAGTAATCTCTCGGATAGTCGAGGCACATTGAGAGTAATCTCTCCGATAGTCGGGCCACATTGAGAGTAATCTCTACGATAGTCGGGCCACATTGAGAGTAATCTCTCCGATAGTCGAGGCAGCATTGAGAGTAATCTCTCCGATGTCGAGCCACATTGAGAGTAATCTCTCCGATAGTCGGGCGTTTTAAGAGTAGTCTCTCCGATAGTCGGGTCATTTTGAGAGTAATCTCTTCGATAGTCGGGTCATTTTGAGAGTAATCTCTCTCGATAGTCAGGCCAATTGAGAGTAATCTCTCCGATAGTCGGGCCGTTTTGAGAGTAATCTCTCCGATAGTCGGGCCACATTGAGAGTAGTCTCTCCGATAGTCGGGCCGTCTTAAGAGTAATCTCTCTGATAGTCGAGCCACATTGAGAGTAATCTCTCCGATAGTCGGGTCGGTGATGTGTACTCATCCCCTCACACCCTAAGATTGTCTTCATCATGCATGGAGTTGCTCGTCAACTTAGCACTCGACGACTTTTCTGCTTAACCTACATAAAAAGGAAGAAGAAAAAAAACACAGAAAAAGAAAAAAAAAGAAAGAAAATTACCTTCACGTCAATGCTTCCGAGTCCACAAAACTAAACTCAATATAGCTTGCGAATACTACGAATTGATGCTCAACAAATATGAGCACGGGGTTTATATAGATTTGAGAGCAGAAGTAGTTCGTTATTTGACGATGTGGGAACTGCAATTGTTTGATACTAACACGGACTAGGAGAAAGATATTCGAAAGGATTCGGATCCGTATAGTTCGTCTATGACAGGAGTTTGGTGGCGCGACAGTAACTTGTTTGCAACAAGGAATTGTCCAAAAGCAATTACACAAGGAAACCACTTTGAAAAGGATGCAAACTGTTATCATGTGGATGCACTGAAGGCTCAACATGTTGTGGACGTTACAATTGAAATTATACTTTTCTGAATTATGAAAAGTGGCATTTCCAAGTAATATTAGATTCAAGCACCAATATATTGCCAAATCAACGTGGCTTAGCTTTATTTCCTTTCTAAGGAATATACTGACTTTTAAGCCTCATGGTCAAACCATTTTATGCAGTTGGTTAATAATTCGCAATACAAATGAAACCACAAAAATATATGTTTTTGTGGTAAGTTGATTCGAGGATTATTTACCGGTACTTCAAGCCTCGCCTTGGTGTTTATTAAATTCACCCTCAAGTTAAATTTTGAAGTAAGGGGCATTTGTAGGCATATAAATTTTATTGGAATTAAATCCGTAAAATAATTTGGACTATATTTAAATTCAAGATATATTAAGTTCAAATAAACTTATTGGACTATATATTGAATTAATTATAGGAATTTTTACCTCCTATAGCAAAGGTTAAACACATTTATTTATTTTAAAATAAATACCATTTAAAAAAATTTATATTCTATAGATACCTTTTAAGGTTTATAGCAAAATATTTATTTTGTTACCTACTAGCCCTAAGCCACTAAATACACTAATCAGTTACACTATTTTCTTCTCTATCTACTTTTGAGTACATCCCCATTCTCTTCCCCATCCCATTAAAATTTCCGAACTCCTTGAAATTTCCTCCACATATTCACCTATCCTTTTCTCGTTACAGTCTCCAGAGTCAATTTCAAGTTCAATCTGGACTTCAGAAGCATCTGGTATAATATCACATATCATGATTATTTTCGTACAATATTTTTTTGGTACTCTTAATGTGAAAAACATACTGTAAGTAATGATTATGTTATGATGTTGAGGACGGAATTGACTGGGTCAGCAGGGGAAGCAGCCATAGCGAGGCAAGTGGTATTGCTTGAACTGCTACGGATCAAGAAGTTGTCTTGCGGCAGCGTATTTCCATGCCCGCAAACATCAGCGTTATTGTTGGATTTGTAATGGGGACTGTGTAGCAAGTGTCGAATCCGCCAAGGCTTGTCACTGTCGTTTTCCTTCCCATTCTCCTCCTAAACTCGTTCCTCATTGCTGTATAAGCTGGCTCCACTAGCCTCGTGAATACCGTCCAATTGAAAAAATTAAAATATGGATGTTGTAGGATGATTTTCTGTTAATATATGTCAATGTATTTTCATGTATTTCATTGTATTCATTGTCTTTTTTTTATTGTAATTTAATGTATTTCGTTGTATTCCATATATTTCATTGTATTCACTGTCTTTTTTTCTCATTGTAGTTCAATGTATCTCATTGTATTCTATGTATTTCATTGTATTCACCGTCTCGCTATATGCCATGAATGTATTCTTAAGTTTTTTTAATTAATATAATTTATGTATTCAGATGTATTATATAATTTCTCTGAAGATTGCTATATTTTTGGGGTATTTTTCGATTGAGAATCTTTTTTATAACTGAAAATACAAAATTTGTGTGTTATATTTGAGTTTGTTGAGTTATATTAGGAGTCTATTATGTTAATCGATTCACTTTCCCTTTTAAAAATAGTGTAATTCCCTATTTCACGTCGTGAATACAGTCGAATATAGTCGAATACAATAATCTGTCCAGCTGTAACCTCATATTTCACTCCATGAATACAGTCGAATACACTCGAATACAACAACTGATTAGCTAGACTTCCCTGATTCACGCCTATTTTTGCTACTGTATTCATGAATACAATAGCTTAATACATCAAATACATCTTATAACCACATAAAAGGTATCTATAATCTGTAATATAACAAATGGTATCTATAGATGGCTAATTACGACTAAAAGATAGTGCTTTATGAAAATTTCTCTTAATTATACAAGTTCAGTATATATGGATTAAGTAAATAAGTCTTAATCCATTGGGCTAGCCCATTTAATTGGGCTAAAGTGATGAGCCCACTTCATTAGGCCCAAGATATCATCTTCCTAGAGGCCCAATTTGGTCCCACGTGTGACGTGGCGGGCCAAGTCAAGCGGAAGAGCCAATAGGACCATGCCATGTGTCAAAATGACAAGGCATGCCCAGTCACACTAAAAGGCCAATGAAATCGCGCCACGTGTGCAAGTGACATGTTCTGGCTAATCAAATGCAGCCATGTCACACATCAATTTGATTTGTCGGAAGAGTTTGTTCTTATCACAACTCCTCCCTTCCACAACTATAAATAGGGGTCTTCATAACTCAGAAAAGACATCAGGAGTTATAACAAGAAGCATGAAAGAGCTCGTGGATCAAACGGTGCAAATTTCTCTACAAGTTTCAAGCTTCAAGCAATCAAGTTCAAGTTCAAGAAATCAAGTTTAAGCTCAAGAACGAACAACAATTCAAGTATTCAAGATCAAAAACGAAGCCAAATCAAATACAAGGCGTTCAAGATCAAGGCTACTCGTTCGTGTTAAAATTCGTGGCAACAATCAAAGTGTTCGCGACGGATAAATCAAATACATATTCAAGATCAAGCTCAAAGGCCCTTGAATATATACTAGAAAAGTAGAATCAGAGGAATCATAGAGACTGTAACACGCAAATATTTAAAATAAAATACTACGATTGTTGCGATATTTTCGGTCCTGATTTTATCTTCTCGACGCAATTTATTGTCTACAATTTCACATATGATTTTGTGAGGATCCTTTGCTTAGTTAGTTAATAATTAATATGAACATGTTTTTCATGAACTTGCTTTTATAGCACAAATACATATTTAATAATCAAATATATGTGATTTTTAAAAAGTTTATGCATACCGACGGGGTTCACGCGCAATGCGCGTATAATGAGACTAGTAAATATTAATAGTATACATGACATTTATAGAGACGTAGCTATGAGTCAAATAATCTCAAAAGGAAAGTGCCACTTTACACTATTTGGTATTAAACGAAAAAAAGGCAAGAGACTTAAAGTTCAATGTCGTAATTAGATCCTATACTCAAGTTTATCTGCTTTACAGAGAGGATTTTCCTTAGCCAAAGCCGCTCGTCCCATAGACTTGAAATTGAATGTGCATGCATGTTCCTCTCGGTACCTATGAATCCTACAAAACATTCCACCACACTTACAACTGAACCCTAGTAATCCCACTTTCTTCTTACAACTCTTGCACCTTTCTGTCTTTGTTTTCATCGTCAAAACAATCGTCGTTTCCAGTTTTAACAGAATCATCAATAGTAAGAAAAGATAACTTTTCAGACAAAGCTATTCCACTCTTGGCAGCTTCTTCATTCAAAAAAATTTATAGCATTGGGAACAGAGGTTGTGATTGCTTGGGTTACCATAGAAGCCGCAACCCCTTGCGCATAAACTTAAATTTTCTGCTTTGTGACAAGAAGTCATTCTTTTCCCTTTGAAAGAGTTTTTTGTTTTGTGGTAGATTGAAGCAACTTATCACTGGTAGTAATAGTGTAGTTAGCTCTTCTCAATTGATGAGTGCAGCTGATGTTGTGTTTCCGGTAATATATAGAGGAAGCTGGTAATCCAAATTAAGATCGAACTAGGACTTATCCCTCTCCCCCATTTTTGGTTTTTGTTTGAGAATGTTACTAATATTTGGAAATCCTTGTCCGACACATATTAGGACAATAGTTAGTGCGGTCGATCAAAAACTTTGGCCTTCTTTATTATGGAATGTCGTTTATATATCCTTATTTAACTTCGCCTAACTGTTATTTCTTTGTGAGTTTAACAGGGACTTTGGGCTACAATTTTTATTTGTCAACACTTTTGCAAATAGATTCTCTGCAGATCAAAGTGTTTAGAATTATAAAAGTAATAAGGAAAAAATGAGTTAAAATCACATATAAAACGTGGTATTCCAAATGAAAATCAAATTAAGACTTCGCTAATTTTAATATTATGTTTTCGGTCGTTTCCTAATTTCGTCTCGTAATTGCTTGGTATTGGCTTCTATTCCCTCGGCTTCCTCTTCTTTTTGGTTTTGGTTTTGGTCCTTCCCCAGTACGGAGAAATTCAGAATTAGCCTAATTTACAATATCTTAACTTTATTATATTAACCTTGGCCCAATTGCTTTTTCTATTCTATCTCACTCTTACCGGGACTTGATGTGTTTCTTTTTTCTTCTTCTTCCTCTTTTTATAACTTTTTTTTTTCATTTTATCTTTTTAAATATTTGAGTTTTTACTAGTAGTATTAGTGTTTACTCTGGTATTTTTTTTAATACAATTGTTGTTTCTTTTGCTTCAATTTTTTTATTAGAGTAATGGTGTTATTATTTGTTTCTACCCTCCCCAAATTTCACTTATAAGATTATACTTGTCACGATCCCAATTTTCCTCCGTAGGATGTTGTGATGACACCTAGTCGTAAGGACTAGGTAAGCCTAATATTGACTGAATTAATGGCAACTCAACCAACAAATATTAAATATGAAAAACAAATTTCTGTATACAAGCCAACAATCCCAAAATCGGTAGTACAAGTCATAATCTCTACTGAGTTTTGTAGGAAAAAGTCTTCTAAGTACAATTGTTCCGGAATAGAAATAGACAGTACAAGCATAATATCAGAAGGTGACTCCGATGCCTGCGAAAGCGACGGCAGGTATACTTTGAGTCTCCACAGCAAAACCCGAACAGCTAGGTAGTGATCAACCCAATCCGAAGTACCTGGATCTGCACATACATATGCAGAAAGTGTAGTATGAGCACACCACAGCGGTACCCAGTAAGTATCACGATTAACCTCGGTGGAGTAATAGCGAGGGACAGTCAAGACACCTACTGGACTAAACAACCTGAACAAGTATAAAGATGAACAAACAGGGAAACAATATTAATATAAAGCTAAGCATGGTAAGGATAACAAAATAATACTCGCAATGAATTGCTAGAAACAACGATTAGCAACAAGGAGAAAACAAGTAACAATGTCGTAGAGTAAGATGAAAACAAGGTAAGTCTGGTGAAACCAAATAAAGGGAACGAATACCACTCAAATAAGAGCAATCGCTTCCATACAAGATTTGTCCAAGGATTTTCTTCGAGGTACTTCACCTCATAGTCACATTTCACGGGTCCCAGCCAATTCATGAACCCTAATCACTAGGCATCTCGTGCCCACATTATAATTCATAATCGCAAGGACGACTCACCTGCCAAGGGAGTAGCAGTATCTCATATATGTACGGACAACACACGTATCAACAATAACAATAAATCGTGACCGCACGAACAACTCACGTGCCGATAAGACAACTCTCACACAGAAGGCAAGTAGACGAGAGTACATGTAAATGGTCAATAACATCAGGATTCATCTTCTTAATCCGATAGGAGTGATTAATTACGTGTATGATTGTGCAAATATTCTATCACAACTCAAGTCAACAAGTAAGAGTAGAGATGATGAATGGCACATAGGAAACAACCACCACAAAATGTACAATGTATGACTCGCACAAGGTAGGAACACTACTACACAAACGTCATCAATAACAATACCCCCAGCCATCACAAATCATTCCCGACATAACCCATTTTGTCTCGCCACGTGCACAACAGTAAAGTAAATGCCCGTCTCTCTCATTGCACGCGCATAATAATATTCCCACCTTATTTCGCCACATGCGCAAACCCACATATATAACCCGTCTTGTCACGCCGTATGTGTAAATATCAATAACAATAATTGCATGGACAACTCATGTGTGAACACCCCGACAGTCCTCTTAACATTATCACGTGTGCCAAAACATAACAACACAATATAAGGTATTTTCACCACATATGCCCATATGCCACAACTTTTCTCAAACAAATTTCAATACCACAATCACGCATAGCTCTCGGCTCAACAACTCTAAGTACAACAACAAAAACAACAACAATAACACAAGAGTAATTCAATACGAGAACTTCAAAACACAAAGAAACGGAAGAACGGGCACACAAAGAAAGACACAATAGGGAATAATGGTCTCTACAACGGAGATATAATGTGTAACAATGATTTTACAAAAGTACAATTCGACGATAAGAGAGATAGCATGAATCAATGACCCCAAATAAGAATACGTCAACGATGAAAGGGATAACAAACTTAAATTAAGGTTAACCAATTACGAAAGAGATAATAATGACTTCAATTAAGCTTAAGTAATAACGGAAGAGATAATAATAACTTC